CCGAAATTATTCTAATATCAGAGAAAATAAAAAATATCATGTGTGTAGATCACACGAATTAGAAGTGAAACCTTCAAAAAACTAAGTTTCGAGAGAATGAGACGAATGCACAGTTTCCAGAGTAAAATAATTGTAGGGTTTATTTATTATAATATTATTACCATATATAAAAAAGGGTACTGGTATAAACTCTGAGAGGAATAGCTGATAAGAATTACACATTACCAAATTCAAGCAATATAAATTGATGAATGCGGTAGTAATAGATAGACCTAAAAATCGTAGGATGTTTATAAAAGGAAATAATTCAGACACACACAAACAAACACACATACAATTCACACATGTGTGGTGTCGTGTGTGGTGTCCCGTGTCCCGTGTCTCGTGCGTCATCGTGAACAAGTCTCATAAACAAGCCTCGTAAACAAGCCTCGTAAAAGAGCCTCGTAAATGAGCCTCGTAAATGAGCCTCGTAAAAGAGCCTCGTAACCGAGCCTCGTAAATTAGCCTCGTCAAAGAGCTTCATAAAAGAGCCTCGTAAACGAGCCTCGCAAAAGAGCCTTGTAAAAGAGACTCGTAAACGAGCCTTGTAAAAGAGCTTTGTTGCGTACCGGTGCCTTGATCGGTACTATGTTATTTATGTATCGTAAGAAGGTCTTAATGGAATGTGAAGGAATGTGAATCAATGTGAATCGATTAATTGTTGTTCCTTCATTGTTAATTGTATTGATGCATGCTGTTGCGATGTTGCTTGTGGGCCATCGCCCCGATGCTGAGCTGCCTGATGATTGCGTTGCTTGTAGATTGATGAGATTTGGCTAGGCTGCTTCGTTGGGTGCCGATAAGTTCTTCACGGTCTTGCCGATGCTTGATGTGTTGAATAGATGTGAATCGAGAATTGTAATGGAATAGAACGATGCTGATTTTCCGAGGCCTTTTATAGTGAAAAGGTCGGTTATGTAATCCCTTCCCTAAGTTGATTGACCAATAGTAGAAGGGCCCCTTCCCCATGGGCCTCCGATGAGCATAGGATTGTAGAGGGACTGAGATGCATAGAGAACTTTGTCTTTACGAAGGAATATCGTTTCTCCTTATGGCATCGCATGTGTTTATATAGAAATCCGAGACCACTCGAAGGGCCCGGCGTCGGTGTGTCCCGCTTCTCTGTATTCTGTTTATTAGTTTTGATTGCGCGAGAATGTGCTAGAAAATATGCTATACGATTCATGTCTCAACGTTGCGTATTACGCAACAAGCTTCGTAAACAAAAATTCACAAAGTCACAAACACAAACATACAGAAACACAAACTAACTAAGACACAAAACACAAAGACACAAAAACACAAACGCACAAACACACCAACTCAAGAACGCAAAAAGACACAAAGAGCCTTGTAAACGAGCCTTGTAAAAGAGCCTTGTAAACGAGCCTCGTAAAAAAGCCTTGTAAAAGAACCTCGCAAAAGAGCCTCGCAATAGAGCCTCGTAAACACAAAGAAACAAAGACAGAAAGACACAAAGTAGAAAGACAAAAACACACAAACACACAAACACACAACACACAAACACACAACACACAAACACACAAACACACAAACACACAAACACACAAACACACAAAGACACAAACACACAAAGACAGAAAGATAGAAAGAAACAAAGACAGAAAGGAACAAAGAAAGAAAGACACAAAGACCGAAAGAGCCTCATAAAAGAGAGTCGTAAAAGAGCCTCGTTAAAGAGCTTCGTGAACTAGTACTATTCAGTACTTAGTATACTTTTTTTGTTTCGGCAGGGGAAAAATCTTTTAAAGATATCCCTCTCGGGCGTGTGGGATTTCCACCCACTAAAAAAACCCTGCCTCTTCACACTCCATCCCGGAAACACAGCTTGTAGCCACTACGTCGAGATGGTTTTGTCTAAGATTCACTTATCGATTGGTCGTTCTTCTTTCATCTTCTTTTTTTCTTTTCATTATCTGTACTATCAGTCCGTTTTCTTCGTCCCATGATGTCTTGCTGGCTATCATTTCTGCTGTTAAATTGTCCACGGTTAGAATCTTGCATATTTTTGCAAAGGTCGTCTGTCTCCTAGCTTCCCATCTTTTACATTCAAAAATGGTGTGCTCTGCAGTGTCCGGCTTCCCGCAGTACATGCAATTATCGTCCGGTGATTTTTCAATTCTATGCGTGAAGCTCCTGAAGCTCCCATGCCCAGTTAGGGCTTGTGTCATATAGTAGTTTACATAGCGGTGTCTGCATACTTTCCACGCGCTTATGTCTGGGATCAATCTTTTGGTCCACTGGCCGACGCTTATGTTTGCCTCCCAATTCCTTTGCCACGATTTAACTCCTTTCTATCGTTTCTCCTGCTATCGTTTCCCTCTCCTCCCTTGAGATTGCAGTTCCCTTTCTGTAAACTTTTGTTTTTTCAGTTGCCAGCAGATCCTGCTATCACCTATCACCTGCGCAGCTTTGGTAGACACTGTCCTATACGCACATATTGCCCTGCCGAAAAAAAAAGTAGTACTTGTTAGTATAAGTACTACTAAGTTAGTATAGTATAAGTATAGTATAACGTATAGTAAAAGTACTAGTATACTAGTACTTAGTAGTAATAGTACTTACTATACTTTGTATAGACATTATATTTTTAATATATAAACTAAGGTTTCTTAAGCAGAAAAGCTTTTCTTTAACGAAAAAATAAGATTTTATTATACCATCTATTAGGTACGATCTCATTTTTCATTTCTCATTTTAAATTCTCTCATTTTCCCCGCATCATAGCTTTTCGCTTAGGTCAAAGTACTTTATTTTTTAGATATCTTGTTAACAACGTTTAACAATATAAAAAATTCGAAAACTAGAGAAAAAAGTGTGAAATTAAGCAGAAAAACACGATAAAGAATATTCCAGAATTCAACGGAACGTGTTCGTGCATTTCGTGCACGCAGAGAGGTGTTTAGTTACCATACATTTTTTAGTTACCATAAGAAACTCGTCTCATTTCTTTAAATTGAGAACTAGCTTACTGTGTAATATGTTCTGTATTATATAAATACTAAACTATTACTATTACTATTATAAAAATACTAAAAATATACACATTATACTATACCTCTTATTAATTTATATAGGATAACATATTACATTATACTATGTCGCATAGTTTTCGCTAAAACACTCTAAATACATTTGAGCTGATTTTGGGCAATTGGAATAATATGTTGTTGTACGATCCGAAATGATTGTACAGTAACTAGCTGTATTCGAAATGCGCGCGTCCGATTCTATCGATTACGATTCTAGATCGATACTCGTCACGAGTATCGAACAACCACAAGCGACTAGCGAAGCACTAATCTCATTTCTTGCATCCTCACCTCTTGCATTCCCACCATATTCGCCGTGCTGGGCCAGTTCAAAGGAACATTCTTCCTATTTCATCACTGGACGCTTACGACGATACATCTTTAGCACCTAAGGACCATAGAAGCCACACGGAACAAAGGACTTAAGGATTCACAAGGAACAACAGAGGATCATAAGAATTCACCAGGAACAACAAAGGAACCCCCCAACCTTTACGGTTGTGAACGTAAGCGAATTCTACCCCCAACCTTTACGGTTATGATTGCTATACGTGAGGCGTGAGATCTTTCCATCGTATACTTTTCACGAGAACTATAATTTCCTGCGTGGCAACGCGACGTGGTAGATCTTCATTATTGTATTTTACAAATAACATCCAGGCTTTTTATGCCGCAAGGCTTTCCCTGACAAGCCAATAAAGCATCGCATCTTTGATTGGCTCAACCACGTGTTTTATTTTACACCTGAACTTAACCCTTTATTCTCCACATCATAGCACATACGTAATTGCCAGAGGACTATTAACTGAGGAATTTAAGCCCCAACAGTTGTGGTTCTTTTTAGATTTTTTCTAGTGGACATTCTTAAGATACAAAAGTAATTGGTCTATCTCAAAAAAGTATGCTTCTCGACTTAATAAAGGATCTGGGAGAAACTGCAGTAAGATCGCAGGTAGTCCTCTAGCTGAAAAACTTGTCATATTCCCATTTCAAAACAAAATTCTTTGCGATAAATAAAAGATAATTTTATATTTTATTCTTTGAGACAAAAAGAAGATAATTTTATATTATTTTTTGAGAAAAATGGAAGATAAAAATATCATAATATAATCATAATATTTTAGTTACATCTTATATTCCTGCTTACCGCTTGTTTCTTTTACGGCGCGCCGACAGTCGGAAATGGGCCTGGCGAGAAACTCAACCGAATCGCGCTGGGCGACGAACATGTTAAGTAAGAGGTGCGAAGGACCTATCATTCTACAAAAAACATTCTATATTGTTGTTATATTAAAATCAAAAAATCAAAAAATAGCAACAACTTTACATCGCAGTGTGTCTACTCAACCTTACACTGAGAAGATTTGATATATTATCAGTATCATCCAGTAAAAAAGGATTGTAAATTATCCTGATGCTGGAGGATTTTTTACAGTTTTCATGAAATTGTTTTGCTTATGAGAAAAATGGGAACACTAGCGGCCAGTCGAAGAACTAACTTCTGTTTTCTAGGTAGTTCTTCGATTGACCACTATACAGGTTTAGTATCGATATTATATGAGTCCACGCTTCGTAGTATGCAGTCCCACACAAACACACACATATACAAAGCTTAGTAGCCAGAAGTGGGAACTAAGAAGCAGCGCATAAGGAGGAAACCGAGAATAGGAAAAACTGTATAGCTATATTGTGTCTGATTCTCTCGCAGGTTCAATCCTATAGGCTCCGTGCGTGATTGCAGCGCCATGGTATCTATGAACTAAAGGAAGCTGCTGCTGAGGTTTTTAATATCTAAACGTATAGGGCTTTGCGATAACAATTCATTTTTGTTATTAAAAAAATTTTTTTTTGCATGTTAAACCACGTGACAATAAAATTTCAATCTTGTGCAATTATGATGCAAAATTACCACTAAAATGTAAGTATAATTAATAATTTAAAAACAGTATGAAAGCTGTAGCGTTTACTGTAGTAAATAAAAGGTTAGATTATAGCCACAGTAGATCAAACTTTAAATAATATTAGCAAGCAGAAAAAGTACGATGTGACATTATTATCAATTTTAAGTTTTATTTTTAATAAAAATTCAAAATTTTCAAAAGTAACACCTACAACATCAATTAACTCATGATTCTTAGTTATTGATGAAAATCCTGCAAATCGTGAATCATCAGCTTGACTTTCTTGATCAACAAATGTCTTTTGAACTGTCCCACATTTTGTTGTTACATATTTTTTATTAGTATAATTAACTTTGGTTGCTCCAGTAACTTCTGTAATTTCCGTTTGAGTTTCAGCATGAGATATTTCATTTTTGATGTATCTGTTGCAAATAAATGTTTGAGAATTTACATCAAAATTTGAGTAAAAGTCTACTTGACACCCTTGGTCGACTTTCTGTGGTGATACTGGTGGATTTTCAATCATTATTTCAACAAATTCATTAATTGGTGGCTCAGTATAAGATGTTGATGATAATTTATTTTTCATTCGACGATCCTTTAAACGCTTGTACCTGAAAAAAATCATTATATTACAATTTTAATATTTAACTTTCAAAAATAACAAAATTAAATTTTGCAATTATTAATTTTTTTGTATGAAATATAAGTTATTAATCATTTATAATTATATTTTTTATTACTAACTATTTACCTGTTCTCAACAGAAAGTTCATTCACTTTTCGATACTTGTAAATTGGAGGAAATATTGTAGGAATATAGCTAGGACTTAACTCCTCTTCAGATTTTTTGCCTCCAATAAAATGATTACTACAAATATAATCGTATGATTTGGGAATCCCCTGTGATCCATGAGGACTTCAAGAAAAATTATAAAATATTACTGATACATTTAATTATTTGAGACATATAATAAATAATTTTTTATAATGAATTATAAAATTGAAAAAAAAATTAATTCTTGCAATAAGTAATTGTAAAGAATTAAATGCAGATTGATTATTCTCTAACTTTTAATTACTAATTATAAATTTAAATTTTTTGTTTTTATTCCACTTACAAATATTAGAACACAAGCTATTTTCAGTATCATTGATGTTACAAAAATAAAGGTTAGGATACTACTTACTTTTGCCTCCTTGCTACAGCTACCCACATTTTTCTTTGATTGATTTTCCATTTGGCAGTCGGAAATTTGTAAAATTTACAATCACTTTTTGCACTCGTATTTTTACAATTTACTACATACCAACTGCGATGGCTATTTCTACCCATTTTTTTTTAAAATATCATAAAATTAATTGTCACACGTATGTTTTGTGAACTCCAAAATAAAAAATACCGTCTTTTGTTGCCAAAGTTATCCACTGCGTGCGCTAGTGTCCATTTCGGCTTCCCCTACCATGACTTCGCAAGGAGCCTATATGTTTGTCTCTTTTTTCTTTTTACTTCCGTTTTGCCACCGCTCGCCACAACGTTACGCCGCGCCGTGTTTCATTTTTTTTCAAATCACTCTCATTCTAAAGAAGTTTTCACTTCAAAAACAATTAGATGACCGAAAAGAAACGCCTTAAATTATTTGACAAAGAAAAATCCTCGTAAAATTGTAACGAAAGTAGAATAAATGTTATGGATTAGAAAATCGTAAAATCGTATCTACTTCTCGGTTTCATCATCGATTTAAAGAAACTTACGAGGTTTGTCTAGAAGAAGAAAAAGAAGAGGTCGTGCAAATAGTTTAGTTCACCGATAACTCTACTACCGTGTGCGTTATGCTAGCAGTCAGTCCTGATTTAAATCTTATTCGTGCTTTTACGCGGTATTTGCTTCTCCCTTTCTCTTCAGTTTGCTTCCCTTCGATATGACTTGGCTCGAGGCTTGCTCGCTCACTCGCTTATGCTAGCTCGCTCACTATTCGGTTTAGATCTCGAATGCACTGATGGTAAAGTTTCCACCGGTATCACTCTCAGTGGTTGCTGTTGGTTCTCCGCATTCACCGTCGAACTTCGATTATTCTCAACTTTGTATTCGGTCCTGCCGACCCCGTCGATTCGTCTCGACGTGCCATCGACATAAATTAGTAGATAGGAAATTTTGGAGTATACGCATACACAACACACACACTCACATAGACACACCATCATGTAAACACAAACAAACGCGTATACATATATACAATCGAATACACGTGCGTTTACCCATGAAAGCATGCACTATTCTTCTTCTTTTGCCGTTCGCGTGTTTCCGAATTTGTTCGAATCGACCACCAGCAACTGCCGATATAAATCATCTAGGAGTGTTTACGCTCTCGACGAGATAACATCGCAGCATCCGTCGATACTCCTTCGTGTCGGTGGAAAAGAAACGATCTTTAGATTTTTCTTTTCCTAAAAGTTTGTATTATGCCGAGATTCTTCCCGTCTTTCTTTTATGTTAATTTAACATTTCTATTATTTTTATATACGAAGTGATTTGGAAAAACGGAACGAATTATTGTTCTTTTTTAAGTAAAAATAAGAAAAACAAAGGATAAATCTTCACTTCTCATGACCTTATTTATTGCGTGAATTCAACAAAGTCAGGTACTGTTGTACTTTATTTTATTAATGCAACCCCCCCTCCCAATTTTCTTTTTATTATTCTCCGTATAAAAGTACCAACCTAAAGTTATCGAAATATAGAAATGACGCGTTGTGTCATATAATTTTTTCATCTATCATTTTTTTTCTACTTTTACTTAATAAAGAGTAGCAACAAATACTATATTTTAGAATTACCTTGTACAATTATTTATTTAACGTAATATTTTAAGTGTAATTACGCGATTAGAATTGCAGAAATAGAAAAAAATGAAAAATTCCATTATCCAATGAGCATAGAATAAAACAACGTAAAATAATTATCAAAAATATTATTAGTTCCATTAGGGAAAGAAAAAATTGATTACATGTTAAAATATAATATGAGGAATACAAAGATTAATGTTGTAGATTCATTCTTTTTGCCATTCCAATTCCATCTATTCAAATTTCCATGTAATTATACATAAATTAAAAAAACAAACAAAAATGAAAGAAAAGTAGAAGAAAAGTAAAAATGGAAGAAAATGGAAGAAAATGCTAGACGTTCCTTATCCCGTTCACGTAGACTACAGAGACACTGTAGAGAATAAAAAGAAGATGCGGAATAGATACGTCTCGCATTAAAATAGTGGGGGGCACGGGGATGCTACTAGTACAAATATGATACTTTTGCAAACTAGGTTTCTTTGTTCGAGCGTATTCTTTTCTTCCTCTTATAAAATACGACGCCATTCGCCGTTATTCTGTCTTTTTTTTCCTTATTCGTGAATTTAATCTCCAGAATATTAGAATATTTTCTCTACTTTCCTTTCTTTTATTTTTTTTTTTGAATTTACACAAGATCGGTATTATTAATTTTTTTTTGTTCATGGAAAAGGAAATTCTTCTTGCTCGAATTAGATATTTTTCCTTATCGATTTATATATATATACTTATCAGTCAGTAACGGTTATAGTTCTATGATGTTTTAAAGCTTAGATGACCTACCGAGTATGTGGACCGAACGTGACGCAAACAAGATCAATGCGTAATCGGTTTCTGAACATTTCTCGCGATATCACCTACCGAGAGTGAAATTAATCCCAATTAAACTACATGTTTATAGTAGTTACATATAGTAATAAAACTACATGTTACTAGTGAAATTCAATTTTCGACAACTTTTGATGATCCCTTTTGAATTTCCGTAACATTTTATAAAATTAATTTTCTAAAGAGATATCTGTGTCTTTCAAGAAAAGATAATTAAAAATTTACTATATATTCAAACGTTAGTAATTGAATTCAAAATAATTTGAATTGGTTATACTCCTTATAATCTATAATAATTTATAATATTCTGTAAATGTTCTCATTTATATAACAGCAAATTAAAACATTATTATTTATATATCTGCATATACAAGAGCTCACGTGTCCATAACGTCTCTTATTAAAGTAATCGGTTATAACTCTAACACAAAACAAAAAATACATATCTTTATACATATAAGCTTTTTTTTTTTATTATATTATAAAGTATTATATACTAAAGTAACTCAAAAAATATATCCCACTTATTCTGCAACACTCCGTATATTGTATATTCTTTATCATACAAGACACATGTACTGGTCGTAGTTTATCTTACGATTACTCTACTTGGTTTATAAGAAAGAGAAAAGTTGACGGGACGTTTGTTAAAAAGTAACAAACTGTGTACAATATTTTCTAATTTTCCATAAGCGTGAAGATCCGAAAGAAGTTTGTGAAAAAGAAAAGAACGTCCTCTCAGCTTTTACACACGTACACTTTTTACCTATATATATATACACAAGTAACTATGTGTCTATTTTAAGTAGTATACTAATATTTGAAAAAGAATCTAACCATTCTTAAGAATTGTTATACACGTTAGAATATTCATATAGTGGTCGTGATAGTAATCGTGAATGATCTAAGTAGCTGGTAAGCCAGCTAGCTTGCTAACACTAACTAAAACTCACTACATTAAAGTTTACCCCAGTCGGTTCTTTCTTATCATAATCGCATTTGTAGATAATGGAGCAAGGATAATTTGTTATCGCGCGATGTCATGGAGCAGAAACTTTTTAAATTACTTCGTTCTCTTCAGAAAACTTTTCTTACCACTGCCGACGACGCCACGAGCATCGTCTTCGTCGTCGCCATCGTCTTATTCGTTGTCGTTGTCGTCTACGTCGTTTCTCGCGGTATTCTCACGGCCTCTCTCTGAAAATACGACCATAGTTGGACATTCACGTATGGAACCGACATGGATATTTTTCTAACCGTTTCCATTCTTCCGTGCTTTCTTCTATTCGGAAGAGGCTTCTTTCTTTTCTCTATTACTCTCTTTCTTTTTCTCTTTTTCTTTCTCTTTCTTTTCCTTGTCATCGTCTTTAACGCGAGTGGAAAGGCGGAACGACGTTTGGTTCGAATTCACTGGGTTCTTAATGTCTCGTGATGCAGCAGTACGTTACTTGTTTACGTCGTCGTTATGCTTCGCTTGGTTACGATTTCATGAAAAGACACCTATGTTTATATATATATACGTATGTGTTTCTTCTTTCAACGTATATACGAAAATATTATATTGCTTTTAAAACGTCCCAGATTTGCCGAGTGAGATTCTTTAACGTAAGTACATCTAACTTTTCAACAATTTTCTTTCAATTGTTAGTGTATTCTACGATGATGCTTTTCTTCCTTTATATCGGTTTCGAATCATAGTTATATGAGTGTGCGTATCGCCATTTATTGTTATAATAATAATAATTATATTAACCTTTTTTTCTTTTTTTAATAAAAAGAAAGTTGTTGAAATATATTTTTTGTCAAGATTTATATTAAGAAAAAATTATATTGAAATATTATCGTAATAAAATTAATAGCAGTTTTAACTATGTCTCAGAGTTCATAAAAAATTAAACATATTTTCTCATTTGTTTATTTTTTTTTCTTTTCTTATTATATTCATTCCTTTTTCTTAAATATTTCTTATTCTCTTTTGAAACATTACAAAAACCGGAATATCGTTGCAGAGGGCATTATACGACAAAAATGCATTGGTCCTAGAAAAGATTTATTACATTACATATACATATAGAACATATATGAAGAACTAGTAAAACTAATAAAACAAAAACATAACATCTATTATTAATATTTGCATTATAATCGAATGTTATTATAGAGAACTTGTCTAAAAAAGAAAAAAAAAAGAAAAGTTAAAAAGAAATAGAAATTTCGAATAAGAAAGAAAAGAAGTGATCAACCGAATGCAATCGACACCCGAAACGCCTGAGTTCGTATTGAACCAGAGGCACGTTCAACATTCAAAGAGATTTCCAATTTCGATTTCCATCTCCATAAACTGTAACTCCTTTTTTTTCTCTTCTCCATCTCTCTTTTCCGTTCACCCTATCGTGGTGGAAAAAGCGTTGTATGAGCGGCGAAAAGTGTAATTCGCTGAATCGCATGACACGTAGATTGCTACGAACGACAATACGGATACGTGCCACGGATGCATTGTTTTCAGGGTTATGGACGAATCGTGAAAAAAGAGAAAAGATTGAAAAGAGAACGAGGGGGGTGGGAGGTAGAGAAGAGAAAGAGAAAGAGAAAGAGA